TATCTTAGAAGTGTTAGGCCTAACGATTGACATAGGCCTAACGTTTAATATGTTAGAGTGAAACTAACAGTAGAAAAAAAGATAAGAATAATAATTATATTCCGTCAAAGCGTGGTTCTAAAGTAATTGAATAGGTCTAAGTGGACTTTTGACAACAAGAAGAGAACTATATATAGTGTTTATGATACGTTCATAATATCTATAGTGTTGAAGAATTTATTGTACAGACGTTCTGAATATATATGTGTATTATTCTGAAAACAAACGAAGTGCGTGCTGTATATTCATCGACATATAAATTGCATGTCCGACATTTGTCACTTATTTTCGATTTACCTTCCCCCTAAGTTGCGACTATGAGGGATAAGTTTGGGGCATACCCACCAGGTAATCCCAAGTAAAAATAAAAAACAAAGGTGTTAAAGCATAAAACACCCATTACATATGCATATAGAATTACAACACGTGAGGAAACACACACACACACACACACATATATATATATATAGAGTGCAGTAGAAATCGTTACTGAAACACACTTCTAACAGAGAGAGAGATGAACAAAATAAGGCAGATTCGATTTTAGTTTGTTGCGAAGAGAAGACACTAACATAGAGCGCCATCTGCCTCCATTTTATCATTTTATAAAAATAAACTACTATTTTCTGGAAGTTTCTATCCACGCGATAAATCGCATTGTTTGATTATGATAATATTTTTTTTAAATGTGCATAAAAACATTTTATACAGAGAAAATACATACTGATAGGTAGCCATTGTAAATTATATTAATATAATTGTGTATCACTATGAAAGATGTAAACGGGGTTACTGTATTTTTTATTTATATATTTCGATTAACAATAATGAGGATATGAATAACAAACTGACAAGCTATACCAATAAGTTAAAAAAAAACTCGTCTAGGGAAATTAGAATTTTAATGGAAGCCTATATATGCTTTATTTTATTAGTGAAATATAGCATGGCCAAGTGGTTAAGGTGCTCGACTAACAATCTGAGGGTCGCGGGTTCGAATCCCCGTCCCACCAAACATGCTCGCCCTTTCAGCCGTGGGGGCGTTATAATGTGACGGTCAATCCCACTATTCGTTGGTAAAAGAGTAGCCCAAGAGTTGGTGATGACTAGCTGCCTTCCCTCTGGCCTTACACTGCCAAATTAGGCTTTGCGCGAAATTCAAATAAAAACAAAAAAAAACAATGTATATTTGTTTACAGAGTTTTTTCACAAAGGAAACTAAATAAACTAGAACGAAGGTAGCTAGTCAATAGTACCTTCCGCCATATTTACTGGACTACTTTTGACTGATATAATAGTGGAGTTTTTACAGCGAGTTTTGACCAACGAGACACGAACCAGGAACTTTCATATTCGCAGTTCGGGTACACTAATCACTAGGCCACACTCGGCCAATGATGTATAAATTAGTTGTGTGAAGATTTTAGAGGCTGTTACTCTCATGTATTAACTTGTTAATTAATCTAGTAATTTAATTGTTTTAATAATTTTGCATCAATCAATTGCTGGAAACTAAGATAATTAAAAGCAGTTATTTGTTTCTGTTTCTGGCGGATTAATTACAAATTGAAATAAGATACCTTAGCCAAATCAATTAAAAATTAAAATTACGTTTCAAATGTAGAGATTGTGTAGCTGTATAAATACACTGTGTATATATATTTATAGTAAACAGTGAGGTACTATTTTTTATTTCTTTTTTTCAGTGTTATGCATTACATTTCGTGAACTGGATTCTTTCATAATTTTGCGTGGTACCAAACTGTCTTGTAAGACTAAAACTAACGTTTATATCTTTTATACGTTTATTATACGTTTATTTATTGTTTATGCCCCCCAGTGGCACAGCGGTATGTCTGCGGACTTACAACGCTAGAAACCGGGTTTCGATACCCGTGGTGGGCAGAGTACAGATAGCCCATTGTGCTGCTTTGTGCTTAAATTCAAAAAACAAACAAACAAACTTTTGTTGATCTAAAAATCAGAGTTCTGTGAGTCAGTAATCGATTTCTCTTGATTGGCCAGAATTAGCATCGCCTCTAAGACTTATACGAATTTCTTTCTTGAACGAGTAAGTATACAATTACATTAACTGTGATTAGTGATCGCGTGAAACGGTGTTACTGGGCCAAACTAAACGTAAATACAACAGCAATTGGTATGATAATATTAAGTGGTTCTTTTTCTAACACATAAGATTCTAAGAGAGCAATCAAATATTTACTGTTCACAGAGAAAAAAAAATAATCTAAATTGTCTGAATAAGTCGTTACAAAGCGCGATAGTTCTAAGAAGAAAGGAGCTTATTCTATTTTTGAAACAAATAAGTATTTTTTAGTCTTAACCAAATATGTAGAGAGTCATTTGTGCTTTTTGGAAGTGGCCTGGTGATTAGGGTGCTCAATTCGAAATCTTTGGGTAGAGGTATCGAAACCCGTCGC